TTTAATTAAGACACGACGCTGTGCGTAGAATTTTAGTTGAATATCTTGATATCTTGGAAAGATTATTGATACTCGGTACGCCACATTTTTTTCTTTCTAATCTATTTATAAATCACTTGATTTTACTATAATAACAGCACACGACGCTGTGCGTAGAATTTTAGTTGGTAATCGAAATATCTTGGAAAGATTATTGATACTCGGTACGCCACATTTTTTTCTTTCTAATCTATTTATAAATCACTTGATTTTACTATTTCTGTGTAATAACAGCAATATGAGCATGAATTAAAAATCAAAAAAGGTCTAAAATATTGCACGAAAGAAAATAATCGTTTATTACAAATTCTTGAACAAATGATAGATATGTTTTATTTATAATTTTACTACAACCAACCAGTGATTTTTCTTAAAATATATAACATGAGACATATTTGGCTTTATTAACAAAATACTTGAGCTATAGCCGTCACGCTGCGTCTTGCTTTGAATATTACAACCTTTATCTTGACTCAAGCAAAATATTCTATCTTTGATTTCTTTAATCACATTTCTATATGCGATCTAATTAATAAAACTTGCTTGTTAGCACATTTTTGGATAACTAACTTTATGCTTAAATTAATAACATGTTGAATCGTATCTAATGATATGAATAGTCTGACAAATTACTAACCAAGAGAACGGATCAATGATACGAGAAAATCTTTTATTTTTGCTCCAGCCTCAAGCGACTTCCACATTCTCAGTCTCTCGACTCTAAGTACGAAACTTTGGACTCTCTATATTTTTTTTACTTTACGTATGTCTCCTTTTTTCTTTATCTATCTATCTATCTATCTATCTATCTTTATATACCTGAGTTTTTTATTTTTGCATGCTTGTACATTTGTGTTTGTGATCTTTATAGGTCACCCTCCTGGCCGGTATGGGCACCACGAATCCCCAACTCCTTCCAAAACACGTCCGCACAACCGATCGAATGTCGACCCGACTCCTGTATCGAATCCTTGTCATCGCACCCACCTTCCTTGTCGCACGTGGCCTCCAGAACTAGATTCTGGTCAACGTCGAGCCCTCTCTCTTCGCGTAGCGGTCTAACAGATATGGAAAATGTGTCGTCGACGACTGGCATTATCGCGAATAATGTTTATTCGGTCGAAAAGCAGCAGCAATCGCTTTACGCAATCGGGAATGGTTTCTTGAACAAAATGAGCAATTCGCGACCGAACGATTGTGACAATGACGCGAACGCAGATGTCCTAGTGGCGCCTGGTATCTTCAGAATGCCCGACATGCCGCGACACTCGCGCAAGAATTACGAGAGAGGTGGCTTCGAGACGCGTAACGAACGTAACGCAATGATGAGCTCTATCGCCAAGGAGAATGACCGGTTACAGAATAACGTCTTCCCGATCGCGAAGCCGAGAATCAGCGCCACGGGCTGGCGCAGTATGTCGAAGACCTGCGATTGCATCGAGAAAGGCAAAACGAGCCCGGTCTTGCGACTGGTCGATCAAGCCAGAGCCGTATCCTCTCCCGATCCTCTCCATAGGCCCGACAATCAAAGAGCCCTGCTACGTCCCGCGATGACAGCTCAGACCCTCAGGTAGGTTTCATTTATCAGCGAGTTTTCAGTCAGAATTTCGCGATTCATTTTTCGAGAGACAACCTCAGCAGCGTCTCTGTTTCTCTCTCTCTTTTTTTCTGTTTTCTCGGATTTCCTCGGCGTCTTTGTCTATTCCCATTTTAAGATCCTCGTGACGATTTCACGTCACTCGGCCGTATCTGTTATCTCGATTTATTAATATCTTCTTGACTGCGAGAGCGCGGAGGAGATATTTCGGAGAAAGGAGATATTTCCGCGAATTGTTTGTTACAAAGCTTGAAGATGCGTTGCATTTTACCCTTGCATTAAATCGTCTCTATTCGAAGGTGAGGTCAACTCACTTAATCGTTAACGACGATTGTATGTCCGGCATGCCAGAGTAATTGGTGATTCCGTCCTGACAAGCCAGCAGATGCTCGAAGCAACAATTCCTTCGGCGTTTCTCTTCCCTGCACAACACATTTTCTATCTTGAGAAAGTTACAAATATTCTGCATTTAAGTTACATGCACTAACTCAGCTTTATCATTGATCTGTCTTCTTTATTTATGCATTTATTTTCTTGGTGTCTACTTATTTCCATTTGATTTTATTTACTTTTTTTGGAGAGTAGAATGCGATATATGTGTGCGTGCGTGTGTTTGAGATAAGATAAATAATAATAATTTGATAGAAAAGAGTTGAATGACGCGTTCATTAAATCCTCATTTGTAATCATTTTTGCTTAAATCTATCGCTAGAAATTAATAACATTATACATGATTGTGTGTGTGATTTAATTTATTCGGAAATTATAATATATTTATCAAAAATAACATCGCTCAACATATAACAAAAGAATATAAAATATATATCAATTTCTAAGCATATGCAATAATCAATAAAAATTGATTAACTGCCAGACAGATTTGAGTTTGATGTCGCTTAATTATTTTCTATATTCTATTTCTATTATACGAATAAAATGACTCATATCCCATTAACCATGAAAATAATGCTCAAGTATTTATCATTTCTGTGCCTTTGATGTAAGCTAAATATATGCCGCATATTACATGGCGCGGTTTTTTAGATAAGAGAAATTGTCTAGTGTTGCAATAAGGCGAAATGCGTATCTAGCGCATAGACAAGGAAATGAGATCAAAGGATGAGCGTCGTTGAAAAAATTAATTATTATCCTTATTAATATAAATATCGATTCTATATATTTCCTCTTCTATATTTCCTCGTTTTATAAAAATTTTCACTTATAATAATTTTTAATATTATTGACTTATATTGTCTCATCTATTATCACGTTTTCGAAATTATAACGAGACTCATTCATGCAAATCCTTAACTATTATGGTGGAATCAAAAATCTAAGTATAAATAGATATTTTATAAAAATGAGAGAAATGACCAGAGAAAAAAATTTCAGCAGTTAATAATTAAAGAAATAAGAAACAAATTTTTAATTTTTTTCGATTTTTTTAGAATCTTGTTTATATCTGATAATTCTTTTTCAAAAATTATTATGAAAATAAATAATGCAAATATAGAATCGAGAATACATTTCAGAAAATGAACGTAGAGTATTATATAACTTATCTAATCAGAATCCGAAACAACGGGTCGCTGTTTCCAATCGTGTTATCAAAATTCGACCGTTCTAGTTAAAGAATGATTGTCTATGCGCGTGTAAATAAAGGAATGATGAAAAAAATGCGTACGCGGCGGCTATGCTTCCAGTTTGGATGGCTTTGTGAATCCTTGCAGGGGTATTGGCGGAGGTCACCGGAAGTTGTTGGACGGGGCGGGGGGCAAGCTAGCTACGGTCGCCACCAGTCCAGCGGACTCCGAAGAGTCCTCATTAGGGGTACCGGAAGTCGCTCCACCGAGCTCGCAGCATCGAAACAGCATTACCCCACCGTCAGTCCATGCTTTCGTCTTACGTATACCTTTCCCTCACATGCATATATATATATACATATATATCGCTTTTCATCTCTCATCGCAGAAATATAAAAGCTCTCACTCTCGTCGTATAAACAATGCTTAGCATCTGTCCCGGCTTATAAGCATTGCTTAATCTTAATGGTTGATGCATGTAAAGATAATTTTTACTTTCCCACCCCCCCAAGATTATAATACTAGCTTCAAACTATAATTTATATATTGTAGTTTACTATATGGGACTGATGATATTAAGTTTAACATCAACGTTTAAAGGTCGAGGCAACTGTTACCAAATTATTAACATATATATGCATATTTATTTATTTTAATAAGAAATTGTAAGGGTAAAGATCAAATCTGCAAAGAAAAACATTAAAGACCTCATGAATAATTTATGGAATTTACTTTCACCAGTTTCACACATGTTGTAGTTGTAACTTTAGACATTCGTATTATATAGACTGTCTATGAAAACGTAATGAGCGAGTTTTTCCCTCTTCTGGATTACCGTGTAAAATATTTCGCGCGAAAGAGACCCAAGTCGGATTGTTTGTTTTAATCGCGCTTGGAAATGAAAGTGTGATGAAATGAGCCTTGAACTGACCAGTCGGAATTTCCGAGAACGGACAGATCTTAATGAGGCTTAAGTGCTCTCCACGCTCGCTGCGGGCGAGCTCTAATGAACGAAATTTAATTTCACCGCGCTTAAAACGAGATGATTTACATTTTACGGAGTAGAGGGGAGAGGGGACAGTCAGCATCATATCATCGTTTGGTGATGAAAATTGTGTGCACGTCAACGGAGCCCGTTGTTAAAATTTGCTTACGCTTTCTTTGAAAAGTCGTCGGTCCAGCCGGGCCGGACATGGTCTTCCCGGCAGAAACGATTATTGATGCTTTGCAGCAGGTCTGCGAACTTCTTGCTCGTTATCGCAATCATTGGAAAAACTTATGTCTGCATGATTTATCGCATGTTAGGGATGCACGCACGAGACGCATGCTCATCGCACGTGAAACGCTCGATTCTTCTATCGAAACTCATTAAACAATGTTTTTATGTAACAGACACGCACTCCTCCAGCTTCGTATTTCGCAATAATAATACAATATTTTATTATGAATTCATTCGGATTTACTTCACATTTATGTAAATTGTTCCGTTATTTCCATTTGTGCTAAATAATCTCGATGATAAAATTTTTGAAATCAATTTGGAAATGAATTTTCTTTAATAAGACATTTTTTGACGCATAATTTAAGAAATTGCAGCAAGTAATTATTCCATTCATCGGAATAGTTTTTGTGTATAATGTTTATACACACTATAATATTTATACATACTTCAAATATATATATATAAATTATTTTAAATTATATATTACATTTAAATCGATTAAATTAATCTGAAATTATTTTAATCTGATAATTGTTGTATGCTTTTATCTTCAGAGACCTTTTTCTTTTCAGATAATCTTCTTCTTTCGCTAAGAAAATAATTCTATTAGTTCTATCTCTTGCTTTAATTATATCGAGTTAATATTTAATGCATTTATGATAATCATCTCTTTTGCTCTCTTCCGACGCGTATATTTAATCGTCTCGACTGTCACCCGCGCTAAATGTCTCCCTTATATATAAATATATACTTTGATTATTCCCTCATTCGACAAAGACGCATTTATCTTTTTGTACGTTTATCGGACACTCATTACACTCTTACACCGTGATGTTTTTCATTCGACCTTATCGAATGAACGCGTTATGTATGTGATATGTACACTCGGCGAACATTCACCTCTTAAATCAGACAGATCCGAGCACATTGGCATGTAATCTATCACATTTCGTATGAATAATTTTTAATTTTAAAATATGTTTAAACTCAATTATTTGTTAATCGTGTCTCGGACATATTATATTTTTTGTCTGTGTAAATATAACTAGAATATTACTTTATTATGGAGAAATCAGCACGATGAAATTGAAGAAACGCATTAGATTAAAACTTTATATCTTATTGTTAGAAATATATTTTATTATTTTTGTATTGTCGCGTGTATGTTTTAAACGAATTTATTCGTCAAATTAAAATTAGAAACTTATCGATGAGGAAAGAAACGATCACTCAAATCTTGCTTTCGCACAAGATTTGATGGATTATTTTATTAAGTGTGTAGCAAATATATAATTACAACTTATATCTATCATAAAATCGTAAAGAAACAGATTAATTTTGCTGTAACAGAAGATTCAAGCTTTTTCCTGAATGTACACGTCAATTTTTTTATAATCTACATGAGCAGCAATGAGAGGAAAATAAAATTAATTGTTATAAATCATTTCTCTCTCAGATTCTAGTTTTTTGTGTAACGATTGCGTTATGATTTCATCGAATGTTGATATTTTATTTCTGTTTCTCATGTCAAAGTGCTTGCGATTTAATATGACAGAAAATGTCGCGAATAAAAAATGTGGATATAATTTGTTGGGATAATCGCGATAATTATTCGCAGAAATCCTTCTGGCGGCTCGGGTCTCAGTGAAACTGGATCCCTGGACCGTGCTAAGGCCGCGATGGAACGTAGGAAAAAAGCGGAGGACGGTACTGGTAATCCTATCCTATGTAGAGTTGAAGTCACCAGGCCGAATCCTGACTCTCTCATCGACGAGCTGCTTAAAGCAACGAATCTGGAGCAAACGGATCTTGAAAGTTCCGAGAGTACGCATTCTCTTTGTCACGTTTTTCTGCCAATTCGTTACATAATTCGATCAAAGAATGACACTTATACATTTATATTGAAAAGTAAGATAATATCACTGAAATAATAATTTAATTGATAATTTCTACATCACATGCGTTTCAGTAGACGATGCTTTAGTTCTATGCATAAGATTCCAGAGATTTTCAAGATTATAAATGTTGTAATTAAATTAAAAAATTTACGTATTACAGCAACTGGTCTTCAACTCTTTATCGCGAAAGACGGGACGACTGCACTTGGCAGCCACGAGGTAAAGAGTCAAATGCCTGCCGGTGTGTTCAAGCAGGTGGTAATGGAGGAGAACAACAGGTAACACGAAGCCATCACCACAAGACGGCAATATCCAAGACAGACCAGCACCACATTCTCTTTGGCCCTGGTGCCAGAGCTCGTCTACGAGGCCTACGAGCCGCGGTAGTCATAAGGAAGAGGACGATGTCGACGACAGACAGGAAATCATCGACTTGGAAGAAACAACTAAACGTGATGATCGTATTCTCGAGATTGTGCCGGATTATTCTCTTATTAGATCGTTTGAAATTATTACAAAAGAAAAAAGAAAAAAATATACCTCGACGAATTTGCGTGAATCGAATGATATCTGTCCGTAGCGGTGGTTGTTCGATTACTTCGTACGAAATTCATTATATGAATGCACAGGACCGAGATTAATCATCTCGTGAGTGCACGTGAATTGCGCGAAACATGAACAATAATTGAGCAACTTACGAGATATTATTACATGCGTACATCGTTTCAATACTCGCGGCCGGTTCAAAAATAAAACATTTATACAAGGGTTTCGAATTTTTCAGAATCCCGTGTAACGAACGAAATCTGCACGCATAACGCTTGCAGCGAACGATCCGTAATGTCAGCCGTGCGTGCGGAGCAGTTAAAGACGATGACAGACAATGGCTGTTTGTAACATCGAGCGAAATAGATACGCGTTTTTGAAACTAACTCAAAGACAAATACATATACATATTTTCTTCCTTGTGAAACGAAGCACAATGATCCTCGTCAAGCGTTCTTTATGCTTGACAGGAGCATTAGTCAATGAAGTTTAACCGAGAGGGAGTTACAGTGTAATATAAAGGACTATAGTTACAAAAAAAAAAAAGAAATAACAGGCTAAACACGGTCAAGGTCCGACGAAACTTTGCAATGGGAAGTAACATCTATAGGCAAAACTTAAGCGCCATCTTTATTTATCTGTCTATAGCTATACGACAACGATACCTCGTCACATATGTAACGTGTGCGATGTAAAGCTAGAGAGATAAGCATAAAGAAATATTAAATTGAGAGATATTATCTATATCATATGGAATTACATCATTATGTATAAAAGTATTTTTAACAGCATTTCCAATAATATTAGCCAAACGAAGAATGTTTGGTTAGTTTTACTAATGTTTCTTTTGAGAATTAATATTTTACAATTTCTGTGTATTAAAAACTTATTTTTGCTTTACAATGTATAGCACATATTTTTTATCTTTTCTGATTAAATTTTTGCGCTGCGCTCTTTTATCATTTACAAAATTATTGCGTGTAATTAATTAATTAAAAGAGCATTCGAGTAACGAGCTGAAAGATGAAGCTAACTGAGCTGAAATAAACAAATCAGTCAGTTATATAAAGAGAATAATGTAAATTTAAAATTTTTCAGATGTTATGCAATGTATATATATTTGTGGAATTACAAAAATGTAGATCTACAATCTCTCTGTATGATATATTGCTTTCAAATATCTTTGCTTTGAGAAAATAGGGCACAGTATTATTCTTCCTGAGCAATTCGTGGATTTTAGTAGATTTCTAAACTCTAGGCGCGATTCTTTGGTGCAAATATAAACTTGGAGACATTTTTTTGTGTGATGTAAATGTTTCACGACTGAATATAATTTACGTACCATTATTTTATTATCGTGCTTGACGAAGGATGTGGATCTTCGTTTCGTCGTACCTTCTCCAAAGGCCCGGTGAATTTTTCGATTGGCGCATGACCGGTTCTACCCGGTAGAGTAATCTGTATATAGTCGTAGAGTAATTGTTATGTAGCTAAATCGCTGGTGTTGTATACATGCATTCTCTCCGTACTCGAATAATCTATAAGTGCTACTGTATATTGTGCTAATGTATCAAAAAGTATGCTAAAACACGTGTGTTGTGTGTGCGTGCGTGCGTGCATGTGTGCGTGTTTAAATGTGTCCCTTTTTCGTATGTCTTACGAGAAAGGAAGGGTTATTATGAAATGCGTGTGTCTGAATTGGTTTGGTAAAATAGCGAGTACTTCCAGCGCCCGCAAAATCCATATCGCAAATTAGTCCGAGCGTTTTGGTCCTTGCAGTTCGTCGTAGAAAGAGAGAGAGAAAGTAATGCGAGGATGAAATTATGTGCACAAACGCTTCTTCGGAATGCTTCGAAGCCATTTGCCAGTACGGTTTCTCAATACCGATCTTGAATATACTTGAACGATCAGCGAGCGACTTCCTCTCGAGAATTTACAAAGTATTTCTCGTCGGGTTTAGCTTTTAAGATCGAGTCCGTAAATTGCGCCAGTCTCGAAGAGACTGTAGAAGCAATGATATTTGTTGGATTACCCGGTGACAGATTTGTGTATCCGATCGTAAATCACATATATGATAAAATGAGCAGCCATTACACGCTGTAATGTTGCTGTAATGATGTTGTTTTTCTTATAGATAGATCGATACGTTCCTTCCCGCTGCTGCGTTTTTTTTTTCTTTTTACGTGTGTACGTTTCTTCTTATAAATAATATCCGAGTGTCGTTCGATACCACTTTCAATTCTATACGATCACGACTATATCATGTCACTTGCGAATTCCATCGTAAAAGTGACTTTCAAGTTTTTACTGCTATGGTGGGATCTAGTCCAATCTCGTATATTTCGTAAAATAATAGAAAAATTTTTTATCTTTGAAAAATATGGGAATGAAAAAACATAGTATAATTTTTCTTTATTATTAATATATCTCAAACTTATTATATTATTATTATTTTACATTTTTTTATTAATGAATATATTTTTATGTATTTTTTTTTGATAGAGATAATTTGCATATGATTGAAATTGTCAATTCGTTAACTTGAAGTATGGAGTCACTCTCATCATTAAAATAAAGATTGATTCCACCACGTAGTAGTTGCATTATTCGTATTCAATCATAGTGATTGTGAGTTAAAATCCGAATCGATCCGTAAGCTTCCTTATGGACGCGCTACTTTTTCATTCGATATATGCCGTATAGAGCCTTTTATTTATAAGATACGCGCGATACTAGGAGTTTACGGTTTCTCCGTGCGCGTTGCATTCGCCGATTGACGTTAATTAATTTATCGAGCAGAGTTTCTCTCGCGAAGGGGCGACTTCGCGTGCGAATTTTCCTCCTGAATGAGAGACGCTATATTCCTCATTTTTGTACGTCACTACGTTAAGACAAGGAGCATAAGTAGGGTATCTTTCTTTTGATATTGCCACTTTGGTGACGAAGATCGTCGCGACGACAATTACGCGGCCGTAAATAGAATGGCGATTGGCGAAAAATTCGTATCCCGCTCTCGTTCACCGTAAACTACGATTCGCAGAAATAACTGATCGGAGACCGTTTATTTCATTTGTTCGGCAGATATTAATGTTGTGATATTTTACACGATACTGTAATAATAGATACCGTTATTATCTGTATTATTATCGATATATATTGTATTATAACAAAAATAATTTACTTTGATTTTAGAGACGGCCGCATCATACACACACACATACACACACACACAAAAGTCAGCGGTTGTGCTTCCGCGGATCGCGAGGCCGTCTTCCCTGATTTACAATTGTTAATATTTCATCTAATCTTTACTTTGTGAGATGAATACGAAACTTCCATGTGCTGATAATAACATTCTGAAAACTACACTTGTCTCAGTTATTGAAGAACCTTCTTCTCTTTCACACTTGAGGGTATATATATACATATATATTTTGTATACATATAAAATTTACATTAAACATTCTTTATTTTACTTTTCCATGAGAAAAGCAGATATTGATGTGTATCGGCATTCAATTGAATTTTTTTATTTTTAATTCATCGTCGGCACGTGTCTCCCTCTCTCTCGATAAAGTTATGACTCCCCAGTAAGCAATTTGATAACAAATTGTTGCCAAATTGGCATCAAATTCGCTCAAAACTTGGTAACAAATCCAGTGCCATCTGTGTCCGCATTAAGCTTGTGTTTTGGTGACAAAGCTTGCTGACATAACCTGAGAGCAAATTGACGGCAAAAACCGAGCAGAGCTTGACATGATTTGACGTCAAATTAGTGGCAAAAATTGAGCAAGATCTGCGCAGGACAATCTGACAGCAGATTGTCAGCAAAAACCGAACAAATTCTGCAGCTTTTGGCCATTCATATAAAATAGTATATTTAAATGGATTTAAAGTCTCAACCCTAAGTAATAAAATGATGATAAGTTTTGGTCATAAAATGACCATTAGATAATTAGACATTCTAAGTTAGGTCTCATAAGACCCAAAATATATCACATCTACGGGAGACCATTTTCTGGCGTTCTTTTGATGGCAAAAATAAGAAACACAATATACAAATTACAGTATTGTTATATAAAATCATATATTAATGTTTTAAAACGTATAAGTAAATTTAAATAATTTAATTTACAAAATTAAAGATCTTTTTGGACAGAAATTGTTCGAATAAGTGAAAATCGAACAATTATCTGTCCGATTTGCCAAAAATCAGTTCAATATCTGAATTTCTTGTATAAGAATTGTGTCAAAAATTGAACTGATAGAAATATATATATTATAATATTATTAGCGTTTTGCAGGCTTTATATTCACTCATGACAAGAATTTGAATACGGGTATAGATAATGAATAACGCGCCGCATAGCGATAAGCGACTGAACTATTTTATAATACTTTTTAATAAGCTGCAGATTCTGTTCGGTTTTTGCTGCCAATTTGCCATCAGATTGCGCACTTCAGACCTTGTTCAGTTTTTGCTGACAATCTGATGTCAGTCATGTCAGCAAGCTTTGCTCGGTTTCTGCCGCCAATTTGTTGTCTAGTTATGTTAGCAAGCTTTGCTTGGTTCTTGCCGGCAATCTGCCAGCTTAATCGGTAATAACAACTCTTGCACCAAATTTGTAGCCTTTTTGCTGACAATAATTTGTAGCAAGCACTTGGCAATATCTGTTAGAACAGACGTGGCTGACTGTCATATTAATGATACGCAATATATCGTATTGACAAATAATTTCAACAGGAAAAGATCAAAGTTCATTGCAATTTATTATATCGTTGATATTAAACGCAGTTCTTTGATGTAATTCCAGGAATATTTCATGAAATAAAAAATGAGTGGCGAGGACACATTACGTCACTAGACTTTATCAATGTCGTTCCTAAACTTCGCCTCCGGGCTTACAATATTGCCTATCATCTTGTCGAACAAATATTTTATCTATGTGATACTATAACAAAAAAATTATGCAGAAATTATATTCAGAGTTTGATATATATTTTTATTATGAGGCTAATTGTAAGTGGAGAAGATGGCGGGAAAGAAATATTTATTACTATCGATTATAAATAGAATGCGGAAGTTTCTAAAGTTTTTGTGATTTGTGTATGCTCGAAATACGTGTATGCAAAACTATTTTCCTGGCGACGTAATAAAGAGTAGACGGAAGGTTTTGTTTAAATGGAACGAAACGATGCACGCGGAAACAATTTGCACGTGGATCGCATCAACGCGCATTTTCAGCATCTTCCGACTAGGAAAGCGCACCGTGAAATCTCACGAATTTCCGGACCCTAATTACAAATAAGTATCGGGGAATTTAGAAATAATTCGTACAACTATCTAACGGGTGTTATATTACAAAAAATATAAGATATTAGAAATAAATTCTATAATATTTGAACCACGCTTCGTCTAGAGGTGAAAATTCAAATATATATATATAAAGCGCGACGTAATTACATTCCAAATCGAAGAGATTCAATTTGATATATTGTTATTGTTATTGTCAAGTTATATCGTGTTATATTGTCAATATGTGAATACGGCATTTATCTTCTTTTTTATTAAATTTGTCACTCATGAATGTTAAATAATGAATAAAACAAGAAAAAATTATTTTAAAGCCAATTATTAATTTCGAAAGTTATATAACAATTTATAAATTTAAATTTCTTTTAATTCTAATTTTTTTTGTAATAATTCCTATTGTAGGATAGAAAACAAAGATTTGTTTTAATGTCTTTTTATTATGTGACTGTTGCATTAATTTTGTTTCAAATTTAGCTTGTCACTTATTGATTATTATAATTAATATAATATAAATAATTGACATAAATATTAATATAAATAATATAATTGACATTATGGATATTGAAATAAGCGAATAAAACTAGAAAAATTTTTTTAAAACTTTTAATATTACAAAATACATAAAAATTTATAAACTGATGCCCTTTTAACGCGACTTTTTTGCGATCTTTTATATCTAAATAATGAATAAAATATATAAATATATAATACATATAGTATATTCTCTCTCTCTCTCTCTCATTATATGTATACATGTGGGTGATATCGTCTTTCTCGAATAGAGTTTAGCTTCGATATTGTATTTGTAGATATTTACGACAATTCTTTCTGCGTAAAACATATTTCCGTGTAATAACGAATGCATTGTATTTATTCAACTCTTCCTGTTAATTCTGGTTATACTAGACTGCAAGTCACGCTACTTACACTCTTCAAAGGATACATCGCGGCTCTAAAATCCATCACGATGCAGACAGTTTACATCACGCGAACGTAAGTAAATTTAATGTTTCTGTTTTTTTTTTAGTTTCTTGTAAAAACTGAAATAAAATCTATCTTTACCTTTTAACATATTGCGCAATAACATTATTAATTTTCTAATTAACATATATTCAATAAATATCGAATTTTTTTATATATAAATACGATATATCAGGTACTTAGAAAAAAATATTTTAATAATAATCTCATTTCGTGAGTCAGTTTATTATATCTCACAACAATAAAAAAAAAGTGAGGTTTTATAATACTTTTTCTTAAATTTATTAATCACTTTTTTTCTTAAATCACATACTTTTTTGTTCTCGACATATTGGTGACATAAGCGCGACGTAATTACATTCCAAATCGAAGAGATTCAATTTGATATATTGTTATTGTTATTGTCAAGTTATATCGTGTTATATTGTCAATATGTGAATACGGCATTTATCTTCTTTTTTATTAAATTTGTCACTCATGAATGTTAAATAATGAATAAAACAAGAAAAAATTATTTTAAAGCCAATTATTAATTTCGAAAGTTATATAACAATTTATAAATTTAAATTTCTTTTAATTCTAATTTTTTTTGTAATAATTCCTATTGTAGGATAGAAAACAAAGATTTGTTTTAATGTCTTTTTATTATGTGACTGTTGCATTAATTTTGTTTCAAAAATTTATAAACTGATGCCCTTTTAACGCGACTTTTTTGCGATGTTTTTTGTAAGATTGTTACAGCCACCAAAGATTAGCATACACATAAATAATATAATGTGTTAAATGACGAGTAGTGGGGTCTCGTCGCGGAAAGTCGACGACGGGGACGTCTCGCTTTCTATATTACAAATTCACATTTACTTCTCTCTATATAGACCAGTTCTCTTTTGGTCGGCGAATCTCGCTGATCATTACGCGCGCTATCATTGTGCAAGCTAAGGAGAAGGGTTCGCAAATGAAACTCCGAATATAACGCTAACATTTCGCGCAAACGGCATCCATCGGCTAAGGGATAACGATCCAGAGAACCGTCTCCGCTTTATCCCACTCTTTCATTATTCCATTGATGGAGCGCCTCTCTCATTCGATTAATCGGGAAAAGCTTATCTCGCGAAAAGTTGCTCTCTTAGCAAAATCTTAAAGTCGCGTGATAACCAAATTCGCTACGCGAATAAAACAACTCTACTCCTTCGCGCCTCGAGATTGACTTCATGACTGGTATCGGTGTTTGACAGTTTGCAGTGTGATCGAAGATATAAAAGTGACTTGGTAAAACTTGATGTGATAAAGCCACATCATGTCGTATCGGCTATTTCTATCGTCTATTCTGTGTATTCTCTGCACAAATCTCGCTACATTATATCATGTCTCCGCACAAATTGATGTATCAAGGGACAATGATATTAATAGCCGTACGATACCCGCTTATGCCGTCGCTTTAAGAGCCGATCTTCTCAACTCGACGATATGCGAGAAGGAATTGAAAGACTTCCGAGATGCTGTCGAGCAACGGATATTGTGGAGTTTGAAGAGTTAGTAAAATCTTTTATGGTAATCATTATCGATTAAGTACTAGAATGCAAACCCGGAAGAACAATTACTCGTATATTATAAATCGTTGAATCGTTCAACTGAGATAGTTAAAATTAACTAAAATTCGATTTATCTTGTGCATGCTCTTCTTTACTTTTAATTGTGAGAAAAACGGAGAATCAAATCACAGTTATAATTTCAACTAATTTATATTTTTTATATAACTATCAATATGATAAATTATATATTTCTATGTTATAAAAAAAAAATTATTTCAGCATTTCGGACATCTTTCATATTTGTAGAACTAATGATTTAAAAACCCTTGGAGAAAAAAAAGTTAATATAATGTATATAAATGATATATTCTCCCTCCCTCTATAATTAGGATATAAATTGACCTATAAATAAAATAACTCTATATTAGATTTAAAAGCGCAAATTATAAAGCTATCTATTAGAGAATGTTCCGTTTATTTAAAGTGTCCGCGAGCTGCATTCCGATAAGATAATTAGTTCAATCCTTATGCAACTGCTTTCAATAAGATAAGTAGTTCAATTATTATGCAACGCATTCTATAATACATAAATACATTATCGCCGCGATTATGTCAGGACACGTGATTTTTCACTAGAGCAACTCGCCGAAACAACTTTCTTCGTGTGTTACACAAGGAACATGTTTCCTAGTCACGTGCCAGGGAAAACTGTTCGTTACGCATGCATACCGTACGATTTTCTCTCATTTCATTTCGAAGATCAAGTATCTCCAGCCAGTTGAAACACGTGCGCCTATTAATGTTCAGACATCGGGTACATTAGTCGAGAGAGCTACACATGCTCTTTTCTAAGTACACAAAGTTATATATCCGATAAATGTATTCCTGCGTGTGTCCCGAGAGCCTGTGTCTATAATATCTTTTAACACTGTCGTTGTTTGCTCATGTGAAAAATATTTTAAGCGAAAGTACAATATAAATAAATCATCGTAACTCGCTAAATACATCATTTTTCGTAGTCAGTATTACTTTAGTTAATGATATTATTTCGTAATGAGTAAAGAGAGTTATTACTATGATTTCTTATTAGTATCATTCCCATGATCATTGATTTTTTACAATGCAGGGATCTCTCCCTGGGATAAAGAATAATGCTCTTTTTTTCGTAATGATTATTCATAATCATTGTCTTATATGGAATACAATTTTAAATTACAGCAACAAATAACGACAATATTAACGAGTATCTAAAAAATTTGGATAATGTGAGATACCTAAACTGACTATTTTTTACAATGAAAATATTTTGTTGATTAATTAAATAAAGAATAGTATTCGATATATGTTTCCGTAAATAACAATTACTTATTATTTCTTTTTTTATTTTCAAGTGTTGGACTCTAGTGGCGGAGTTAAATCAGGTTTCCTTTACGGAAATAATTATTGGTTGGGCATCAATAACCAGTGCTTCGATACAATGAACACGGATCCTCTAGAGCTTTTAGATAAGGATTTATTGAATAATACGCTATACCGTGATCCGCAAAAGGAGTTTCCGCCTTTCGAAGTGACTTACTTCGTTGCTTATTTTAGACACAACAGTACTCTTCAGTACCATGTGAATTTACCCAATGAAGTAAGTTTATAAATCTTTATAAAGACCATTTTATAAAAACGAATCTCACAGAGACGAGAGAAAGAAACTAAAAAATATATTAAGTTATAGATTAATTTATTGAAACCAGAGTGAAAGAGAATTTATGCAGATTTTTCAATTTTTATTTTATCGTTGAGTTGCAATAACGCATTCTGTGGTTAGCCAATCCTAAATTCCTCGTTTCTTTGCGCCTTCCTGGATTATAGGCGTACCTTAAATCAACGCGAGAGAATTAAAGTAATTTAAGTTGTCATTAACCAATGTTGCTGCAAACGGGTTCGAATAGGCTGAATGCAACTTTAGAATAGTTGTTTGACGCAATACCACAAATCCTAAAAAGAGAAAGTTAGAAATAGTGCACTATAATATTATTCATAAACACACTTGTAATCTTTTGAAGGATTAAACAAATCTTTCTGTTGAACAAATAATGCATCATACATAAGTCTATATCTTTCCGAGAAAAGGCTTAATTCTTAAAAATCAAACTGGAATTATGTGTCATATTTGCTCAACATTAATACATTCAATATTTGACGTATTTAACTTTGCACAAATAATATTACGTTACTTTACGTAACATTGTATAAATATAACGTAATAATAAAATAAACACGAATTAAACTTAGTGACTAATTATATGACAAACATATATTTAAGAAACTTAATAATATAAAAGTTTGAATAAATTCTTTCAAAAAGAAGAAATTTTTATATAATAAAATTTAAATAAATTAATAAATTTACTCACATTTTTCTTGTTCATATACTAATGAAAGAAATATATGTACATATATAATTTTTTTTGAAAATTTGGCGTATATATAGGGTGTCCCAGAATTACCGCACCACTTGCTAATGACAGATTCTTGAGATTATTTAGAGACGATTTTTCCTCAGCGAAAATATCGAGGCATCAATAATTTCCATGTTATAAGCGATTCAAAAAGAAGGGCTTTTTGCAAACTAAACTTTATAGAGAGTTAGAACTACATTCTTTAGTTAATTTCAGATAGAATTTACTTTAATAGAGAAAGAGAATTTTAATTTAAGACTTACAATTAGTTACAAAGATATATGATGGAAAAAATTGGAAACTTGCAAAAAATACCTCTCTCGACATTTTCGCTGAGGAAAAATCCAAATAATCTCAAGAATCTGTCATTAGCAGATGGTGCAGAATTCTGGAATACCCTGTATATAAATGTTTAATGAAATAATTGAAAACAAAAGACGAATTAACAATGGATTTATAGTAAGTATTCTTCGGTGTTTAATATATATATATATCACTCAAAATTCAATTTTTTAAATATAAAATCCAGATACTAATACAACACATACACATACAAAGTAGATAGGCCATGTAAGAATGCACACATTTTGTATATATTTGATATTAAAATATACTATATAAAAGAAATTTTCCTTTAGGATTTGATTACGCTCGGTCTCTGTTTACCAGCATCGTGCTCTATAAGCGAGTTAAGCTTCATTTTGGAAAGAATATTTCGCGATAGAACTTTCTTAATCAATGATCTCTATTCCATGGACTTTAAGCTGATCGAAGTTAAAGATGTAAGGGACGATCATCAATGGTTATTTAGTGGTGCGATGCTTCTCATCTGGTACGTTCAAAAAAATTTAAAGCTAGTAATTACGAGTATATAATAATAAGATAAATTTTCACCTAGCTTTGAAAAAAGCTTAAAAAAATAAGGAGAAAGAAAAAGAGACAAGCGAGAGAAGTTTATTTCGCATATACTAATTTTATGATTGCAGTATTGTTTTAGCAGTTAATATTTCCATGATGATAATCGGAACGGCATACGATATACTCGTGTATCAAAAATATTTAAATACAAATAATAAAACTACTAAAGCTAGTGAGTATCCAGAAATTTTTTATTTTTTTCAAAAGCCTATTATTTTTATATTATTTTAATAAAAATTAGCAAAACATTTTTTGTGTATATAAATATAATATAAATATGAGAATATACTAATATATATGTATAATATATAAATGTAAATGAATAACAATGGAAAATAGATATTAATTTTCTGACATTTCATCATTTAATCAAAGCACCGTGGTTTTTATATTAATGTATATTAAACATTCCGAATTATAATTCAGTTGGCGAAAACACACCCGAGGAGATGGAAATGGCAGTGTCTTCACATAGAAAAAATAGAATCGGAGAAGTGCTAATATGTTTCTCCGTTTATACAAATTCGAGAGCAATATTTAACACGAAGATAGACAGTGAGGCAATGCCTGTCATTCATGGCTTAAAATTTTTAAGCATGGTTTGGGTAATAATGGCCCACACCTCATTATACTCAATGGATTATCTAGGCAAGTGATTTGGAAAAAGAATCGATATGTTATCATTTCTTCTGTGACTCTTATTATTTTTTCATAACGTATATAACAAAAATAACGAGGGTATCCCATTATTACATAGACAATAAAGCATGGAGTTGGAGAGTCAGCAAAGGCTTGCCCATACAGGTATTGACCAATTCACATATATCGGTCGATACCTTTTTCTTTATAAGCGGCTTCTTGGTGGCCTATTTATATCTGAAGAACGTAACGGGCAAAGGACGAATTGAACCGATTAATTATAGAGCGAAGCTAAATGAGTTCTTTGTCTCAGTAATAAGAAGATATATCCGGTATGTTCTCTTTTCATTATCTTACGAATTGCACAATAAACAAAGACAATAAATGTGATAAAATAATAATAAGCGACACAGTTATGAGCAAAATAAGATAACGCAACAAGGAAACAATTTAAAAATCATATTCATTATACATATAGATTAGATAATGTAAAATTCCTTACGGATTCATATCCGGAAATTCTCATTTTAAGGCTGACACCGGCTTCCATGATGATGGTGGGAATACTGCAATTAAACTCGGGTTGGTACAGCGAAACTTCACAATTTTACATGGACGAGAGACCGCATGAAACTTGCGCAAAATACTGGTGGAGGAATCTTTTGTACATAAATAATCTGTTCAATCGCAGAGAATTGGTACGCAAACGCGTTTAATTAAAATCGATCTAATATTATTCTCGGAAGCGTCATAAAAAATCTTATCCAAGCACAAATTCTCTTATATCTCTTTTCTTGCAGTGTATGAGTTGGAGTTGGTATCTAGCTAATGATATGCAATTCTTTATAATTGCTATAACGCTACTGATTTTGTCTACCATGTAAGTTAATTGACTGTTTCAACCGTATATTATACGATTACGAGATATATTTGAATATATATGATTTGCGAATTTCAGATACTTTTACACAGCTGCTCTCATATTGGTCGGACTTTTAATAGGCTCGATTGTACTCAGCGGTTACATTTCATACATCTACGAATACGTTCCGATGTGAGTTAGAAAAATTCTGTTAATCATTTTTACGAGAATAATTAATTAAATAAATTAAATAATCTTTTTATTGTTATAGATTAAGCGAACTATACAGACTTATAGATGTCTTATACTATCCGCCGTGGGTAAGAATAGGTCCATATATTATTGGAATAATTGCAGCTTACATTTTAATAAGATTAAACAAAAGGACGACCTTAAAAAGGGTAAAGTATGATTTATATAAATTTTTGTACTAATGTAAGCTTGACATTTAAAAAATAAAAAAAAAAACCAATTGAAATTAAATTAAATACATACTCAGTGAGAACTTATTTATAAATTGATTAATATAAAAAATATGTAAAAAAAAGAACTGTGTTATTTAGCTTAGATTTCAGATATTACTATCATTGCGCAATAATATTTTAAACGTAAATTTCAGACAACCTTAATTTTATGTTGGTGCCTAGGCAGCGCTTGCAACATTTTCGTATTATTCGGTCTTTACAATCGACGCATATCCGTTCTGTCAAGTGCTATCTATGTCGCGTTAAACAGAACAGTTTGGGCCATAGGTATAGCGTGGATTGTTATAGTATGCTCCACTAAGCACGGAGGTTGGTTCACTTAATAATAAATAAATTTTGTCGAATTTGCATAAACAAAGTTATCGTAATATATATTATTCATGTGTAACTTGCAGCCCCCATTTAATTTCAGTTTTAATTCACGCTTCAATGAGCATTGTTTTATAACGAATAATACATAATTCAATAATTTAGAAAAATGTTATTCTCCGATTATTTCAAACAATCTTGCGACTTTATTTGCAGGTATCATTAAGCAAGTGCTATCGTTCAAAGTCTGGATACCTCTTAGCAGACTCACATATTGCGCTTACCTTTTGAATCCTTTCATCATACATTCGATTCATTTGCACGACGAATCGTCCACTCACTTGGAGTATCTATCCTTAAAAAAAAAAAAAAAAAAAGAAAAAGAAAAAAAACGTTCGACATCAACGGAGCTTATCGCAATTTTTGTTTTCAGGGAACCATGTTTATGGGACAAGTTGTAATTACTTACTTCTGCGCTTATGCATTATCCTTAATGGCAGAAGCGCCATTCATCATGCTAATGCGAATGCTAGTCCAATCTCGTAGTAAAAGGAAATGTAGGAGGAACGAGATTATAATTTCGCATACGAAATTGTGAGAAATACTGTAATATCATTAATACGTAATTAGCGTAAGTAGTTCAATTAATGTCGCACATCTCTAAAAATGACATCTCGGATAAGAAAATAATTCCGACTTTTAGATGACATGCAATGGTATTCCGCTATGGAAAATTTCGATATCGATGAAGCTGGATATATAATTTACATTGGTGTTCAAATTAGAAGGAACGTTGCACTTTATACGGTTGCGATGAATTCATTGAACTGCAGGCAAATGCGCATACGAGTCTAGATTTATCTTTATGGAGTGTGGGCGTATTGTACATAGCATCCACAAACGGAATCAGTCAAAATATCTTATACTGGCTCAAGTATAAGTAGAATCAAAGTAGATCAAGAGTTTACAGCTCATTTACAAAACTACAAATATTATCAGACGATCCAAGTTCCCAGCGGCGCTATGTGTGAACCGGGGAATGTATTCTGGGTGGCGCCGGCGAAGTCACAGACCGATTCGCTCGAGAAGCTTGTTCGCGCCTGCCTTCTTCCAACTGCTTTTCGAGTTGCTCTTTTAAGACTAGAAGTTCCCTTGTTCTTTGATAGACCGGATCCTTAAAACGGAGATAAATACAGGTGTTTTGACAAAAATATTTGCCTAATTCATAAACTATTTATCAAAATAATCTTAGATAAATAGAATTTAACGTACCTGCTGCCGCATGCTGGGGTTCCATCTGCAGTATAGACTCTTCCACGGTTTGATGTACCGCATACTGGCGACTGGCATTAGGACAACCTGATAATTCGTGCCAGACCGATAAAGAGGATTCAGATAGAGAGGTAATTGACTGTTGGTATACGACCAGAGAGAAACTGTTCTTTGCTTCACTTGCTCTTGTACTCTTTCGCGTTCACTGTAAATTGGTAATGATGTGACTCCCGAAAAAAAATGTGAGACAAATCTATATAATATAGTATACCTGCTGAATAAGAACGTGCCGAATCTGCAAGAATAGAGATGATCGACAATGGTAATTAGGAAATGTTCGTTGAATTCAAAAGCGTTGGGGAATTGCCGCGTTATTTGCCAGACGCAATCAATAAATTGTAGAAATACTGGTGATCTATCTGCATCGCTGTGATGTTCATCTCCATGGCCTATTCTCTAAAAACATTTTAATCATTATTAATTATGGACATGATAGTAACATAAGATATCGTAGAAATGTTTATAAATCGTTGCGAGCTTTATAGAAAACTTTAAAAAAATTTGATATCATGGTACCTGTTGAAATTTGTGCCCAAAACTAAGCCACTCCTTTTCTATTAGAACTTCGAATCCCTTGACCGTTCTATAATATGGATCTAACATTAGCATTGCGAGAGCTGTAAGCTAAAAAAACAGAGATATATATAATTACAGTAATACTTAATAGATGCAAATTTAAAAATAACTTAGCTTAGAATTAAGAAGTATTTACCTGTGCTGTTCGATCCCAACCGTCGGAACAGTGAACCAAAACAGAAGTCTTGTGATTCTCAACTTTATCCACAATTCTTACAGCCCCAGCAAGAACACATTTGATATGTTTGAGCCACATTGTCGATTCTATGCCCGATAACCATCGAGCTTCATCGATTGTGGGGAAACATAATTCTGAAACAGAGTATATATATGTACAAAAATAAAGGCAGCGTTACATTACTAGATAAGTCTTGATGGATACCTTTTAATTTTCTGAGACTTTCTCTCATGACGTGTATATTATGAATATCAAGAAAGACCAATTCCGCGTTCTGATAAGCGTCTTCGCTTTCGTATCCGCCGCCTTTCGCCTTGTTCGCTATCGCGTTCGGCATCGGCCGCGCGTCCATAATGAAGAGTTTGTGACTTTGTGCGTTAGCGTCCATTATCAGCTGGACGTACCTCTCGTCCTCGCGACTCCGTTTGCCACCGACGCCTACCAGTGGCTGCGCGCAACGAGTTATCGTCGCTTGGCTTTCCGGATGGATCCACGAGAGGACCGGCAATCTTCCTCTACTTCTAAAAGACGCGGATGCTTGAAGATCCTCATCAATCGCTGCGGCAGGCACTGCCCAAACAGCTGGATAACTATCGCACAGCGAATATGTGTCGTTGATTTTGGATATTTTCCACATATCATTATTTACACCCTGAAATTCGACGAGAATAAATGTTAAATACGTTGTTTATTAATAATGTCAGATTAAATTAATATTTTGTATTTACAAAACTTATGTACTTTTGAGGTAGCTTCAAATTTTAGATTGAGCGTCGATACATTTCTCGATATGTATTATTACATACCATTCTCTTCAGCTCTGCAATAGGCTCGTAAACATTCCAACCATTTTCAGAGAACGTCTCAGAGTATTCAAAGGCGAACAAAGGTAGCTTGTGAGATAAAGGAAAAGAATACTGTTGTAGCTTTTCAAACACATCTCGTCTAGAATGATTTTCCTGCTTGTGTGCAAATCTGAGATTCCTCATGTCTTTACAAAATACTTCGATTCCGTAAGAATTCTCTCCTCTACTCGACGCACCGCCAACTTTTTCAATTCGGCTAACGACGCCCAACGGCACTTCAACAATGTAAGGCGTTTCTCGATCTATACTACGAAAATGGAGCTTGTAGTTTGTAACACTAAGAATCCCCCTGGCAGGTCCCGAGTAAGGACACAAATATGTGACTTCGTGCGGAATGCCTTGCATCCGCTCTCCATTCAGGAGTGGTGGTCCCGTGTCCCCTCCAGACAAATTCTAATCAGAATAACGAAATAATTGACCAATCACACAGACATCATGCAATGAGAGTAAAACAGATTTTCTAGCATAACTTCAACAGAATCAATGATACAAATAAATATATCGCAAAGTAAAAGTGAAATGATAGGGAAATATTTTTTACGCAACAGAACATATTGCATTCTAACACAAATAATCTTTATCAAAATAAGTACCGCATACAAATTAAAAACGCCATAATTGCGCAAAGAAAAACGAAAACTGTGCTTGAAAATTCGCTACACAAAACTCACTTTTACTTGATTATCTTTTTTAGCCTCCAGAGCAGAGACTATATTATTATCTGTTGAAGTAGAGCTTGAGGAAAAACTTTTTGAATGCGATGCTTTTTCCCAACTCTCCTAAAGAAATTGTGAACCCATTTCAGAATTCAATAAATAGAATTATGTACCTATATAATATTATTGGCCTTAATTTTAATCACAATTAACACTCATTCATACCGATTCTTGGCCCATTTTCGAATTAAGCGAGCTGCTCTTGCTGTCCGAGTTGAGGGAATCTGAACTGGCATTCTTTGAATTACTTTGCTCCGCACTGAGAAGTTCTGCGCTGCCTCTCTTTTCCATACTTGCATCAAAGATAGCTCCAGATTTTTCTACTTTCGTTGCAACATTCTTATATTTATAGTTCCATTTACAACTATCCGTGGGGTTGTACAATCTATTTGCACCTGTACACAATAAATTATATTTTAGAATATAATAAAAATAGACCATTGATATTTAACAATGCTAATTTCTTGTAAACTGAGCAATTTCAAGAATGTTAAATTAATCAAAATAATAATACAGTATCTGGATATTAAAATTTACTTATTAAGTCCAAGCACGAATGAATAAAAATATAAGCAATAAAATTTATGCGTTTTCCTACGTTCTGAGACTTCAAAATCTCTGCGAGACATAACCTCACAAAACTCGCAATGCGCGAGATAATATAACGACGAAACAATGTCAACCAACGAGCAACGAGATTATATTAAAACATAAGCAACGCGTACTCTCGCACAAAAAATTACGACAAAGGGAGAATTTGAGAGAACGATACGAGAAATCGAAATTGGAAGCGAATCATGCCGTGCCACGCCCGGAACGAGAGCCGCTTTTATATTATTCCTCGAGACACGCCAGAATCTCAGTCGTGTCGATCACCGGACAAACGACGGGTATACGGAACTTGCCTCTGACACGTACTTTATGCGATACACATAGCCCGCGACTGTTCGCTCCTGTCAGTGCAACAGTATACTTTTGACAGAAGCTGCCATCTTGCAAATAATCGCCGACAGGTGATGCTGCTGCTCTCTATCTCTCTCTCCTCGACTCCACGTGCATCGCGCACCTGTTCGAAAGGTCGAGAGAACCTTATCTTGTCTAATCGTAATATTCGACATAAACATTAGCGATCTGGTTCAAAAATATAAACAAATGTTCCGTCACTGGAATCAGAAAGTCATGCGTTCGATTTATGAGCAATATCGCTTTGATTTCAAATGACAGCTTAAAAAATTGATAAGTATCTCGACTCGATAAAATTTCAGAAATTGGCATATGTAATATACGAGAGGTAACAGAATATAATTCCAGTAAATTTTGCAATCATATCAATGCATTAAAGTTGCCATGAAGCTCTTTTCTAATACTAATAATTGCAATGTTATTATTTTAGGGATAGACTGATTTATAAAGTAACGAGAAAAACATATATATGTTCATGGACAAATAATTCTTCTCGTCGTTAGGAAATCTCTCAAAAAGCGGCTTTGATAAATGCATTTTTTGACAAATTACGATAATAAACTTATTTCAATGCGACGACGTCGTACACGTGTTACGAGAAAACGCTGATTCGCTTTGATTTGAAAGAAGTTTCCCACTAGCAAGAGAGTGCGCCTTCTCCTTTGGAGACTAAATGCGATTACATCTGTATCGTACGGGTTCCGGGATGCCTAAATCTTATTAAGTGTCAAATCGGATTACATGCGAACTCTGTTCGGTGCTTGTTATTCGCACTGATGGACGATCACAACACAACTCTATGAGTACCAAACGATTTGTAAACCGATCAATAATATTAAATTTTGTCGTCGATGTGGAATCTTCAAAAGTGCTGTAAAAAATAATATTTCAATAAAGTAGTTATTTTCTTTTCTATACGACGAAAGGAAAAATGCAATTAATTCATCAATATACGTTGCATTTGAAACATAATCGGTCATGTATTGTATCAGATTATATTCATAAGCATGTTTGATTAAAATTTATACTTCTTGGACTATTAGGATATATTTGAAATAAGTTTTATACTTCTTGTAAAAAAAATTATAAAAGGAACACTTTGAGATGATGAAAAATCACTAGTTATACAATTGAGATTGAACTCTCACAATGTAGATAGGTAATCGAACTTTATGTTGAATTTGAACTGGACGTTGAAAGAAATCTAGTCTGAAACTTATCGTCAAACTTTTAAAGAATTCGAACGAGTTTCTATATACGAAATTATATAAGATTATTCTACATCAGTGTGTATATTATATATATATATATATATATATGTACATGTACACACTCATTCACGGTAGTATCATTCTAACAATTAAGCTATCGTAATGATTCTTTGGCAACTCGAAGCTGTCGGAATATAACTATATATATATATATATATATATATATATATATATATATATATATATAACACACCCTATATAAAGAGAAATACATACTTCAGTTGACTTCTTAGGTAGAACATGTCGGTAAACACGCTCGATGCAATAAATTGCAACTGTGACAATTGCAGTCGTTATAAATCTTGCATCCTTCACGTACGATTGCAACATACTGTTATTAATTATATCGTCAGCACTGGTAGTAGCTACGTAGATAGATATATAGGTAAGTCTAACTACGAAGTTAGGATATCACACGATCACGTGCTGTACACTCGGGTTGCGATGTATTTGCGATGACCGTTGCAACTTATTCTTGTTGCAACGACAACTTCCTCCAGTCTCTTGTTATTATTCATCTGTAAAGCCAGTGATAAAAGCGCGAAGGAGACGGCAATTGTATATGTATAGGGAGAAATTGTGAATTTATTTGTAAAAAAGGAGGATTGTTCGACAGAACAAAAAGTATAAGATCGACAGTTCGAGAGTGATGCAGCGAGTTTGATTATGTGTATATTCTATATGTATATATAGAGCGTAATCGCGCGCGTAACATGAAATATAAAATTCTCATCATCAACTATATTATATATAGTTAACTTTAAACATGGTCAACATATAAATATACAGTCATCACATTAAGTTAAACGTATTCATACAATATACGAACAGCGAATCTATACATAGCGTATGATTATAAGAATCTTTTATAATTTCGGTCTCTTCTTTTGTTCATTTTTTAGATGCACTTATGTACCTTTATACACACACGCATGTATCCCCATGCACATACATACTTTCATACATTCGTACACATATATATACTCGCCGTGTATATAATACATGTAATATACAAAACGCTCGGGTCGCGTGTGCTTCCACCCGTGAAATATTCACGTGAGTACGTGGAGACGCTACCGGTTAGAAAAAGAGGAAATCAGAAACGGAGTAGACGAATAAGATATATCGCGTACGCACATTCCGAGTCCTCGCGCATCAGTACAGAAGTTAGAAGAACAAAGTACTGTTTCGGGCGGACAGAACGCGTGAAGCGTTTCTTCCGTTTGCATTCACATTCGCTTGTATAACATTTTGGCACTTGTAGCGAAGAATATTCTATTCCCCGTGCGCGCGAACTCACGCGAAACGGTACTTTCCTCTTCTCGTTCCCTTCCTCGGATGATATTCAAATCGGATGACTTAGGCCACCGTCGATGCCGTCGCATACTTCTCAGAGTCCTGTAGAAATCATTACCGAGAAAAAGATTCGAAGCGCGAAAGCTTTAACGAACACAGAGTACGATTCGCATTCTCATTGTCTAGTTCATTGTTCTCGTTTTTACTCTCCTTCTCATCCTCTT